GTGGGGGTTGGGCGACGGTTGGGCAGTGGTGGGGGTTGGGCGACGGTTGGGCGGTGGTGGGCGTTGGGCGACGGTTGGGGCGGTGGGGATGGGGATTGGGGTGGTTGTGGTGGTGAGGGTTGCAGAGATATTTTGGTGTGGGGGCAGGGGTATTTTGGGCAATCTAACCCATTAGTCAACACTCACTAAAAATGACCAAAAGTCAAACCGGAAACATATAATCCGGACGGAGGGAGTAATTTTTTTAGTTTTGGTCTCGAGGTCTAGGGGTACCATCACATTATTTGGCCAAATTTTAAATTCATCAAAAAAGTTGCCAAATTTAACATGGATGTTTCTTTTTCCATGTAAAATCCTTTGCAAAAGTTTCATGTAAAAGAGACTTGTCAAAAACGAAATAATTAATTTTTTTAGTTTTGGCCTCGAGCTCTTAGGTGTACCATCACATTTTATTTTGCAAAATTTTAAATAAATCCAAAAACTAGCAAAATTTGACATGGATGTTTCTATTCGCATAAAAAATGCTTTGTAAAAGTGTCATGTCAAAAAGACTTGTCAATAATGTCAAATTATTATTTTTACATTTGGCCTCGAGCTCTAGGGGTACCATCACATTTTTTAGTCAAATTTTAAATTCATCTAAAAGATTTGTCAAATTTGACATGGATGTCTCTATTTTCATGTAAAATTATTTTTAAAAGTTTTTGTCAACAAGACTTATCAATAACTTCTGATGGATACCCTGGACAGGGGGTATTCGGTCTTTGTATAATATTAATTTGGACGGTTCAATCTGTTGGATAAACCCGTTTACCGGGTATTAATTACTTATTTTTAGAGGCGGCCCAGTCTGTTGGGCCGGCCCATTAGTTTGTATGTGGACTCAAATCCTAACCCTAACTCCCATTATTTATACCCCTCTTTTAGGAAGAGGGGAGGGAGGGAAGGAGGCTCAATACTACACAATACCCACATTATTTATCTTCTTCTTCACACTTTTCTCCTTCTTCCTCTACCCTTGGGTTCCTTAACCCAACAAGTTTCATGTCAAAAAGACTTGTCAGTAATGTATAAATTAAAAATTTTTTAGTTTTGGCCTCGAGCTCTGAGGGTAACATCACATTTTTTGGCCAAATTTTTAATTCATCAAATAATTTGCCAAATTTGATATGGATATTTATATTTGCATGTAAAATCCTTGCTAAAAGTTTCATCTCAAAAAGACTTGTCGTAATGTCTAAATTATAATTTTTTTAGTTTTGGCCTCAAGTTCTAGGTCTACCATCACATTTTTTGGCCAAATTTTAAATTAATCAAAAAACTTGTCAAATTTGACATGGATATTTATATTTGCATGTAAAATCTTTTCTAAAAGTTTCATGTCAAAAAGATCTGTCACTAATGTCTAAATTATTTTTTTTTAGTTTTGGCTTCGAGCTCTAGGGGTACCATCACATTTTTTGTCAAATTTTAAGTTCATCAAAAAATGTCTCAAATTGGACATGTATATTTCTATGTGCATGTAAAATACTTTGTAAAAGTTTCATGTCAAAAAAACATGTCAGTAATGTATAAATTATAATTTTTTTAGTTTTGGCTTCGAGGCGTAGGGGTACCATTACACTTTTTGGCCAAATTTTAAATTCATCAGAAAACTTGCCAAATTTGACATGAATATTCTTTTTGCATGTAAAATCCTTTTAAAAGTTTCATGTCAAAAAGATTTGTCAGTACTATCTAAATTATAATTTTTTTAGTTTTGGTCTCGAGCTCTAGGGATATCATCATATTTTTTGGCAAAATTTTAAATTCATCAAAAAAATTTCCAAATTTGACATGGATATTTCTATTTGCATGTAAATTCCTTTGTAAAAGTTTCATGTAAAAAAAACATGTCATTAATGTATAAATTATAATTTTTTTAGTTTTGGGCTCGAGCTCTAGAGGTACCATCACATTTTTGGCAAAATTTTAAATTCATCAAAAAAATTTCCAAATTTGACATGGATTTTCTATATGCATGTAAAATTCTTTGTAATAGTTTCATGTCAAAAAAAACATGTTAATAATGTATAAATTATAATTTTTTTAATTTTGGCCTCGAGCTCTAGGGGTATCATCTTTTTTTTTGCAAAAATTTAAATTCATCAAAAAACTTGCCAAATTTGACATGGATATTCTTTTTGCATGTAAAATCCTTTGTAAAAGTTTCATGTCAAAAAACATGTTAGTAATGTATAAATTCTAGGGATATCATCATATTTTTTGGCAAAATTTTAAATTCAACAAAAAACTTTCCAAATCTGACATGGATTTTTCTATTTGCTTTTAAATTCCTTTGTATAAGTTTGATGTCAAAAAACCTTGTCATTAATATCTAATTTATAATTGTTTTAGGTTTGACCTCGAGCTTTAGGGCTAACATCACATTTTTTGGTCAAATTTTAAATATATCAAAAAATTTTCCAAATTGGACATGGATATTTTTGTTTGCATGTAAAATCCTTTTTAAAAGTTTCATGTTAAAAAAACTTGTCGTAATGTCTAAATTATAATTTTTTTAGTTTTGGTCTCGAGGTCTAGGAGTACCATCACATTTTTTGGCCAAATTTTAAATTCATCAAAAAACTTGCCAAATTTGACATGGATATTTATATTTTCTTGTAAAATCCTTTCTAAAAGTTTCATGTCAAAAAGAAATATCAGTAATATATAAATTATAATTTTTTTTAGTTTGGGACTCGAACTCTACGGGTATCATCACATTTTTTGGACAAATTTTATATTCATCAAAAAACTTGCCAAATTTGACATGGATATTCTTTTTGCAAGTAAAATCCTTTCCAAAAGTTTCATGTAAAAAAGATTTGTCAGTACTATCTAAGTTATAATTTTTTTAGTTTTGGCCTCGAGCTCTAGGGATCACATTTTTTGGCCAAACTTTAAATTCATCAAAAAACTTGCCAAATCAGACATGGATTTTCTATTTGCTTCTAATTACCTTTGTAACAGTTTGATGTCAAAAAAACTTGACATTAGTATCCAATTATAATTTTTTAGTTTTGGCCTCGAGCTCTTTGGGTACCATCACATATTTGGCCAATTTTTAAATTCATCAAAAAAATTTTCAAATTTGACATAGATATTTCTATTTGTATATAAAATCCTTTGTAAAAGTTTCATGTCAAAAAGACGTGTCAGTAAAGTATAAATTATAATTTTTTCAGTTTCGGCCTCGAGCACTAGTGGTAATATCACATTTTTTGGCCAAATTTTAAATTCATTAAACAAATTTTCCCAAATTTGACATGGATATTTCTATTTGCATGTAAAATCCTTTCTAAAAGTTTCATGCCAAAAAGACTTTTCGTAATGTTTAAATTATAATTTTTTTAGTTTTGGTCTCGAGGTCTAGGGGTACCATCACATTTTTTGACCAAATTTTAAACTAATCAAAAAATTTCCCAAATTTGACATTGAAATTTCTATTTGCACGTAAAAACCTATGTAGAAGTTTCATGTCAAAAAGACTTGTAAATAATGCATAAATTATAATTTCTTTAGTTTTGGCCTCGAGCTCTAGGGGTACCACCATATTTTCTGGTCAAATTTTAAATTCATAAAACAATTTCCCAAATTTGACATGCAAATTTTTATTTGCATGTAAAACCCTCTGTAAAAGTTTCATTTCAAAAAGACTTATCAGTAATGTATAAATTATAATTTTTTTAGTTTTGGCATCGAGCTCTAGGGGTACCATCATATTTTTTGGCCAAATTTTAAATTCATTAAAAAATTTCCCAAATTTGACATTGAAAT